ATATTACAGGACAGAAATTACACTGCTATTAATAATAAATAGTCATGATAATGTTTTCCCTTAATAGGGCATCTCTTCCCCAAGAATCCTAATGCTTTATAAATGCTGGACTGAGTTTTATGCACTGCTACAACCCTGACTTCTGCCTGATTTGCATGGGTGCAGAGGAATGTAGAAATTAATTAGAGATTGCATCAGACCTGTAAATTATTTCACTGCAGCTTGGTGTTCCTCCCACCCCAGAGATAGGTGCAGCAATAATATTGTCAGCGCTTTAACAAGGAGTTCTCACAAACACATTTTGGACAGCAGGCCTATACTGCACGCCTGTGTGGTGCCAGTGCTTCCTGTGAAGGGATGGGAAGGTAAGGATCTGAGCAGTACTATTTATGTTCCTCTCTAAATAAAGATGCTCCCTCATGACCACGATCAAGTATAGAAGAACTACCAATCAGCAAAAAACCTTAAGTGCTCCTCAAGAGGAGCAGCTTCTGGAGGGCTGGGAAAATCATACTCTGTGTAGTCCCCAGGCAGAATGGACTCCTACCATGTGCTACTACAACATAAACATTTTAAAAACGAATACTACGTAGACATGGCTGTGAACACATGCAGTAAAAACCCAGCACACGGCTCAGTGTTCCTGTCCTTAACTTGGGATGAAAGAGTAAGCAAAACAACTGTTAATAGAATCGAGGATAACATCTCCAGAGATATGCTAAACATCTGGTACTTGAGTCTTCTCAAAAGCAAAACATTTGCTCCCCAGAAACAGTGCATGTGGAGCTCAGGAATAAGTTCTCTTTATCCAAGCTGACTTGAGGCAAACACCAACAGGACTAGGCACATAGAAACATCTGTGCCTTCAAGATGAAATGTCACCAAGGTCTTCTCAGAACCACAGGCAGTAAATCGCTTCACCTGATGTGGCAGCTACTCAGTCTCACAAGACAAGTGTTTCAGTCAGGATCTGAAGAATGTCATATCTAATTGACTGAGGAGGGATTACACTTGGAAGAGTCATGTGCTGACAGTTTTGAACAAGGTGGAGGCTCGTGTCATACTGTCCGTACTAGCAGCTCTTCTGATGCTGGGCACAAATAGGCACTCAATAGGTGACGTATTTCATTCTTCTATGCAAACACATCTCCCCTGCCTGATCAGGCTTGGGATACGACTGTACTACTGAAGCATGCAGGGAGGGGAAAAGAGGACAACTTCTAGCAAACACACTGAATGTTTCAGTTCAATGAGTAGGGAAACCACCCCTCCCTATTCAACAGCGGCTTTATTCTCAATGCTTACCTTAATATTCACCCATTGATCTTTCTTGACCACCAAGCAGCAAGTCAGTCAGGACATCAGCTTTGTATTATGCTCCAGGGAGCAAATATAAAGCAATAATAAAAAGAGCTTCTAAGTGAGCAGGACAGACCAGGGGCAAGAAAGGGAAAGGGTCAATCAGACCCATTTAGTAGAAGCAAACAAGGAATTTGATTCCTTTTATCCAGAAGTGACAGAGGCCATCAGCATATTTCACATAAAACACCATGGGTTTTATTTGTGCTTTTGGTCACTGCTCAGATCAGCCTGGTTTCCAATTCTCTCTTGACTTCTCAATTGGTTCCAGCATTGATCCTACTCCTAAAAAAACTACCACAGAGTCAGGTGCAGCTCAGGAAGCTGTTTCTAACAGTGATGGGCAGCAGAGTTTTAGAGGAAAAGCTAACAGGGCAAGTTTGAAGCTTTATTTCTCCCATTTTCTCCCCTCAACAGCTGCCAGAAAGCCACCATTTGGGGACTTCCTCACCTGGGACATGTATTCATACATTTCTGTTTGAACAGAAGTTGATGGGCCACTGTGCCAAAAACACATTTCAAGCAGCAACTTATCTACATGTCAGGTGCATGAGTGAAAACAAAACAACTGAATCCTTCCTGCCGAGTGGCCAGAGTTAAACACAGCTGTGGGGACACCTGTTTCACCCCACCTTCACCTCTGGAGCCTGCATCAGGAATAGGCCAAACAGGACTTAATGTGCTACAAATTCACAGGGTAAACTCAGCTCCAGATGGGTGATGGAAACACCGCCAACTGCTTCCTTGGGCTTTCGCTTTTTAATAATGAAACTTCACCAAATGAGAATGCAGCTTTGGGAAACAATACAATTTAAAATAAAATGTGGGTACCAAAGAAAAGTTGGTCCCTGTCTCTTCTCAGGCCAGACACTCATTCTGTAATAGAGAAGCCACATATTCACATTACTAACAACTCATGATTTCTCAATGTCTTCTACTGCAATGCAGGATATCATGTTTAGACCTCCTGAAATCTCCATCTGTAAAGCCTCTGGTATCCCCATCTATGTCCTATCACTAGCTGCTACACAATAGTTTTGTGTGAAATTTCAAGAGTAAGGAATGTTTCTCCACCGTTTGCTTTCCTCAGTCTATACAACATTGCCCCTCTTTACCAGAGACTTCTGAACCTCCCACTTAATTACAGTCTCTCCCACAAACCAGAAAATCCATTGATTAAAGCAAAACAATCACTCCAGGGCACAGCAGTTCCCAAGCCATGAAGGGCAAGCAGGACCAGGAGACAGAGCTGCCAGCAGAGAGATATTCCTCTCAGCCGTTTGGGAACTGCTGCTCTAGCTCCCTGTTCACGCCTTGCAAGAACTTTCATTGTTATAGACTCAATGTCTGTATTAAAAAAAAAAAAAAACCTAAGAAAACTCTGAGATAACTGTGAGAGGAGTTATTTGTAGTCCAAGACATATTTCTGTAACAATCTTTTAAGTAAAACAGTATTTAAAAAATTATCAGATGTTGCACATTATCATCTTGTAACCTGTTTAGTTCCTGTTTAATGACCATTCCATGCATTTTTACACATACTTTATTACCTCTACAACATACAAATAACACCTGCTGGGGAAAGGGAGGAAACCCTTTAACTAGAGGTGAAAGGGAACCAAGAATGGTGATGTTCTAATAAACAGGGAGAAAACACCTTTTTTCCTGGTCTAGTCTGTTGCTAGTAGATTGCATCAGCAAGTTACCATTAACATCTCAGCTACATCAATTCATAGAACCATTCATAAATTCAACTCATGTTTGAGACCAGACTTTTTTTCCTTATTTAATCTGCAAATATTATTCAAAGGACAAAACATTATTACTTTATTATGCTAGATATATGTCTGGCCCTCTGAGAGAAAGCACACCAATTGTGTTTCTTCATTATTTCAGAAACGCTGTTGTTCTAACAGATGCCTTGTGTCTCCCTGAGATCTCATGGGACTCTAAGAGCACAAGGCAAGCCTGGACACTTCCATGAGCAACACCTGCAGGAAGAGTATGTCACAGGAAGACTGACACAATTGTTGCCAAATTAATGCGTGTCAAATGTGAAACCTTGTTACCTTATACTGTCCTTTATACGTGTTTTGTGGAAGATGGACTTCGATATTACAAATTCATTCACATGCCATTCTGGCAAGCAAGTCAGGCTTCCGGTGCAAGTGCAGCATCTTCAGGAAAAAGTCAAGTGTATTATAAAAGAAAAGCAAATGTTCTGACTCAAAGAACAAGCATTTCTGAGTACAGAAAGTAACACTGAGCAAAGATTCCAGACAAATACCTACACTGCATTTGAGGCAGGATTTTTTCTTTAGGACTGACTTAATTTCCTTAATTGCATAATTTCAAATGTTGAAAACACTAGCTGGCTGCGATATTAGCAGCATTTGAATGGTGACTAATTCTAATGAGTATGCTAGTAGCAATTTAACACTACGACACACCACACACATTTATGAGGCTGAGAGCGATAGCAATCACCCTGGCTCATAAACCTCCACGCTCTCTGCGACACCACCTCACAGCTTTTTCCTCTCATTTTCACCTTTTGTCACCTATATGTGAGGTGACAAATTAAGATTCCTTTACTGCACAGGGTGCTTCCACTTAAATCCATCGGAAAGCCAGTGTCCGAGGACCAGAGATCCCGGAGCTGGAAGAGCAAAGCCCAGACTTGCGCTCACACAGGAGAAAGCGAGATGCGGCCCGCTTTTGCACGCCTGAAACCAGAGCAGCTCACCACAGTGCATGCCTACTTTTTCAGTCCCTCCTTCCCTTTGTACGTGAGCTTCGCTAAGCGTTTCCTCCGCTGTCACCGCTTCCTGCCTCCCTCTCTGGTTGGCAGCTGGGGTCCGGGGACACCCGCGCCCCCCGAGCGGCGCGGGCGCGATGCTCGGATCCCCGCTCCCCTGCCAGGCGCGGATGGATGGGAGCCGCCGGGCGGGATGGTTATTTCCTCCCTTTCACCGCGACTTTCTCCTCTTTACCACGACACGGGTGACACCTGCTCCCTCCTCCCGCACCCTCGGGTGTCAGGCCCGGCTCTGCATAGGCTTGCCCGAGCATCGCGGAGGGGCGGGTCCCCGGTGTCGAGGGACCGGGGATCCGGGATGTCACACCGAGCTGCCGCAGCGCCATCCCCCGCGCCCCGCCGGCCCTCGGCCTGCACCCGCGGCTCGGCCAGCCCCTCTCCGGAGACACAGGGAAGAGGGCTGAAGAGTAAAGCCAAGGCAAAACTCCGCGCTGAGGGCGGAGGTGCAATTCCATTGAGCCCGAGGCGAGCGCGAATGCCGAGCCCCAGGCGGGGTCGCCCCCCGGCCGCCCGCACTCACCCAGGGTCTTGACGGCGACCTGCCGGGTGAGCGGCGGCGGCAGGTTGACGCAGACCAGGTCCACGTCCTGGTGCAGCAGCACCTCGTCGATGCGGCTGGTGTAGAAGGGGACGCTCATCTCCTTGGCCAGCTCCTCCGCCTCCTCGGGCGTGCGGCCCCACAGCGCCTTCACGGCGAAGCCCTCCGCCTTCAGCAGCGGCACGATCACCCGCGCCGTCAGCCCGGTGCCGAACACCCCCACCCCGGGCAGCATGGCGGCGGCGAGCCGGGCGGCACGGCGAGGCGAGGCGCTCCCTCCTTCTCTCAGCGGGGAGAGGGAGGCAGCCCCCGCTCCACGCTGCTACTGCTGCCGCCGCCGCCGGGGCCGGGACCAGCCGCCCCCCGCCTCAGCAGCGCCGGCGGCCCCCCACCATCACACAGAGCCCCGCGGAGGCGCCGGCGCCGCGCTCCCTTCGGCGGTCGCGGGGCGCGCAGGGGCGACCGCCCTTCCCCGGGCGGCGGCGCGGGCTCAGCGCCGCTCCTCTGCCATGTTCGCCGGCGCCCGCTCGGATGCGGGGACGCGGGGACGCGGTGCAGGCATCGCCCACAGGTGCGCTCCGCGGCGCCGCCGGGGTTTGCCGTCCGCCGGGCGGGTCGGTATCGCGGCATCTCAGGAGAATTCCCTCCTTCCCCCACCTCTTCTCCCACGGGAGAGCCTCTGAGGGGTCGTGGCGATGTGGAGTCGCCGGAGTCGCGCCCCAGTGAAGGCACAGGAGAGCTGGGAGAGCAACAGCGACGGACTGGCGTGAGCTGGTCGTGCCCATCGCCCTGCGTGCGTCTCCTCCTGGACGGTCCTCCAGAACAGAGATGTCCCAGAGCACGAGGGGAGCTGCTCTGAACCCCAAATAGTGCCGTGCACTGGGTCAGATTCCAGCTCCACCACCTGTGCTTCCCACCACATCCACTCGCCCGGGATGCCCAGCCAATATCTCCACCACCTATGCCATACTGGATTGTTGGTCATTCACTTCCCTTAGAAATAGCAAGACTCTTCAGCTTTACTGGGACATAGGTTCTCCCTTTTTTTTTCCTAGCAAAGCGTCAATATGACAATCCCCTTCTCCATGGGTCTACTTACACAGTTCCAAACCCACGAATTTGCTAAGGCGGCTTAGGGAGCTTTAGCTGCTGTTGCTCAGTGCACAGCATTTGTCCAGAGTCTCTGGAGGCCTGCAAGAAGCCCAGGCAGGGCAGTAAACAGACCAGGCACATGAAGTTAAATGTGCTGTGGGCAGGAATCATGCCTCCTTTGCAGACCCATACTTGGTGCTGTGCTCTAGGTCTGTCTCAGTAATGCTGGGTTTGCTGAAGGCGTGTCAGGGATTTCATAAGCAAGTACAAAACTTGCAACACATCAAATCATAGAATCATAAAATCACAGAATGGCTTTGGTTGGAAAGGAACTTAAAGAGCGCCTAGTTGCAGTCCCCCTGACATGGGCAGGGACACCTTCCACTGCATGAGGTTGCTGAAAGCCTCACCTAGTTGCAGTCCCCCTGACACGGGCAGGGACACCTTCCACTGCATGAGGTTGCTGAAAGCCTCATCCAACCCAGCATTGATCACCTCCAGAGAGGGGACAGCTTCTCTGGGCAACCTGTTCCAGTGCCTCATCACTCTCATATTTGAACACCTCCAGAGAGGGGACAGCCACAACTTCTCTGGGCAACCTGTTCCAGTGCCTCATCACTCTCATAGCGCAGAATTTCTTCCTAATGTCGAATTTAAACCCACCTTCTCTCAATTTAAAACCATTGCCCCTTTTCCTATGACTACATGCCCTTGTAAATCTCCCTTTCCAGAAGAGGAAACCTTCCAGCACCACTGGCATGGTGCCCTGTGCCAGCTCCTGCTCATCCCTGTCTGGGCTGAATGCTGGGCTTCCAGTGCTGCCCCCCTCCCAACTTGGAGGCTGCCTGGGAGCAGGTGAGGAATGTGGTGCCCATTGGGCTCATGCAGGTCTGTGCAGACCTCGTTCCTAAGAGGGGAATCTCTGCCCTGCTCTGCACACAGATCAGCTGGCACAAGAGCAGAGCCACTCTTGTGAGTGCCACACAGTTACCTCGCTGCCTGTCTGACTCTTTAACAGAAAAACGACAAAACATCCTGCTTCCAATTAGAGGATAAGAGTAAAGATGTTTTCCCACATATTGTCTTCTTTACCAGTTCCTAGGAGAAAGGAAGAAAAGGGGAAGGAAGGAAGGAAGGAAGGATGGAAGGAAGGAAGGAAGCAAGGAAGGAAGGAAGGATGGAAGGAAGGAAGGAAGCAAGGAAGGAAGGAAGGATGGAAGGAAGGAAGGAAGCAAGGAAGGAAGGAAGGATGGAAGGAAGGAAGGAAGCAAGGAAGGAAGGAAGGATGGAAGGAAGGAAGGAAGCAAGGAAGGAAGGAAGGATGGAAGGAAGGAAGGAAGCAAGGAAGGAAGGAAGGATGGAAGGAAGGAAGGAAGCAAGGAAGGAAGGAAGGATGGAAGGAAGGAAGGAAGCAAGGAAGGAAGGAAGGATGGAAGGAAGGAAGGAAGGGGAAAGTAGGACGAAAGAAATTAAAAATCTTTCCTATATGAGACTCCTGGAAATGTGCCAGGGACAATGTTGGAAATATAATCCACAAGTGTTCCAAAAAACTATGCTTGGAAGCCATCACTCTTCTCTCATACTCTCTAAAGAGGTAGGGTGTTTTTTTTTTTCCTGCCACCATCTCACAACACTTCTTTATTACAAAAAGCAGAGACATTGAGAGGTTTGATGCAAGTTAAACATGTTTTGCTTTCCATGCACTATTAGCACTGAAGTGAAGGAGGTGGATGGCTTTGGCTTCTGACAATTGAAATACAATCCAGATCTATTTGTCAGAGAACCACAGGGATATTACCTTTCTTTACAATACAAAGACTGCTTTTGGGCTCTCCATCAAACATTCAAACCTGCTGATAGGGGTTGTTCCCAGGAGGAGAATTTGAAATATATGTCTTAATTGCTTGTCTGTGCACAATAAAAAAACCTGGAAAAGAAGCTAGGTTACAGGAGCAGGCTAAATAGGTGATGGTTGAAGAGAAGTAGATACTATGTGCCTATTTAGTCAATATATAGCTTTTATTTTAGTAGGCACCAGCCACTTTATGAAATTGCATGTAAGGTCCTTGTTTTGGGAAATATCCAGTAACGCATACAAAATGGAAATTGAGGCCTAGGCAATTAAATTATTACATTAGGCAATAAAATTATTACATTCTGCTATGTTCACTGTTGTTAGCAATAAGTAAAACTTTACAAAAGGAAGGCCTAGTAAAATCATGGCTCAGGCCAGTTACTTTAGCTAAGTAGAAAAGGGCTATGGGAAAGAGACTCAGCTGAATTAGGGGTAGAAAAACAAGTTCTGTAATCATCATGAATTCATATCGTGGTGTATGGTGGTTGGTTGAATTGTTTGTTATGGTCTAAAGCTGTGTAACTGAGGAAGACCTGACTGCTTAAAAAGGCCTGGTTTTTGCAATAAAGCAGCTCTCCTTTGCACCTGCCTGAGGAATCTGCATCACTACAGATCCTCACCCACACACTATTTCCCTAGAAAGAATTTTTCCTTGCTTTACTTTTTAATTTCTTTTCTCCATTTAAGTTAACATAACTTTGAAGCGTTAAACTGGGTAGATGCAGTTGGCACCCAGCCCTCAGCACTCCAGCAGCCAAGTCAGCCCGTGAGCAACCTGAATTATCACATCTGCAGCAGCCCCGTGCTCCCCATCATTTTTTGCAGGGACATTTGGGGACATGCTGCAGACTGATTGTAATGAGCTGACTGATTGTATTAATTTCTCAATTAATTGTGTGAAATAAGGCCACCTATTGCCATGCTTGCCTGTCCCCATGAGCACCCAGAAGGACTGAGGGAAGGCAGTGAAGGACAATTGCTTTTCAGGATACAGACCATGTCCTATGCTGTAGGCAACTGCAAACATGAGTGAAAGCAGAATGTTGCTCAAACACAATTGCCTTTCAGGATACAGACCATGTCCTCACTATGCTGTAGGCAACTGCAAACATGAGTGAAAGCAGAATGTTGCTCAAATCCACATCACTGATGCTGCCAGTTACTTCTGACTTGAATCAGAAATCTGGGCAAGATTTTTTTTTTTTTGTGCAAAACAAAAGAGACCAAGACAACAACTAAGTGCCTCACGTTGAAGGTTCTGTCTAACCGGGACCAAGGCTCCCTGGGTTGAGTGTACTGAACTACAAAACCTCTTGTACTCCATATATCATACCTTCACACTTCTAAACATATCAGTCTTGTCAAGAGTGCCAGCATTTTGTTCTTAAGGTTGCTAAAGCTTCCTTCAGTGAAGACACACACCCAGAGATTTCTCACACAGAGACAGTTGTTTTGTTCATTCTTGATTTTTCTTCTGGAAACAGAAGTAAGTTATTGGAATAAAGTTGTACATAGAAAAAGAAACAAAACCATGAAAGCCTCATATATTATTTAGCTTTTGTATTTAGTTTTATTATTATTAAGGTAGTTTTAGGTTGAAAGTACTAGATGAAAGAGGATAAATAAAAAGTATAAAAATCAATCAAGCATTAAATAAGCATTATCTGTTAGCATAAGTGAAATGCAGAAAGTTGGTGGTCTCACACATACAGATAGCACTTAATTGAGAATGAACATTCTCAATTTACTTTCCAAATATGTGAACACATCTTCCCAGGTATTGCAGAGCTTTCAATTCCAGAGTCTGCTCAAGACAAATATAAGATCCACCTGACGGAGTACGAGGAACCCACACTGCTTCTTTTTTGCTTCTCTGTACTTAAAGATCTGTTCTTTTTCAGGTTTTTAAACATTTATCCAGTCAGACTCCTCAGCTGTGTTTCTCAAACCTCTCATACATCCACCTGAACAAGAAGGGAAAGAGATGAGTAAGACATAGCTTCAGAGAAACCCTGAAATGCAGCTTGCTGTCTCTTCAGATACTTCTTTTTCCAGAATTTTAAGATTAATTCACTCATTTCCTTTTACATAGACCAGTGTCTTTAAACATGAAACAGCTGTGAATTTTCATTAACTAGTTGATTCCTTCTGGGGTATGAAGTTAGTGATCACCATTTCTGGGCTTCTTTTGTAACTCTGAGGTTGAAATGATTTGCATGGAAATAGTATTGCTTCAGAGATGGGGGGAAAGTGGTGATTCAAACCCGTCTGGTTCTCCTACTCAGCTGTACTGACTCATCCACAGCTTTAATGTGCAGCACGAGAAAGCATGTCTGAGATGAGTTGCTCAAGTCCTCTTTTACATCTAATGCCACACAACTGGCAGTTTCCCAAGCTGGCAGGAATTTGTTCTTGTGAAGAGCAAGTTTGTTTTAGTGTCTCTTTGAATGCATTTCCACTGAGAATCCACAGAAGTTCCCGCTCTGAGTTCTGGAGGCAGAAATTGCTTTAACATTTGTAGTATTAAATGGTCTAACATGCAACAGAAAAAACTAGAGTAGACCACATTGCTAGCAAAGGGTTCATAATACATTCAGCCCTCTTCTGTTCTGATCAATGAGAATTGTACCATGCCTGGGGTCTCTGAGCCTTTTCAGTATGATTTTTTACATTTATTCCTTCCCACTTTACAGAGCCTTTCTTTAGAAGACATGTTTGCCAAGTGTGGTTGGGCTGTGAGGAAGCCACCAAAGCTTCAAGAAACCACATTATCAACAGAATAGTTCTGAGTGCATTGCTGTTCTGTTCAGTAAGGCACAGAAGAGGATCTAAACAAGAACAATTTCCACTCTTTGATAACCTGTGACATCCTATGAAGACAAGAGCGTGTATTCTCACTTTACACGTGGAGAAATTAAAGCTCAGAGAGAATGAGCCTAATGTTCTCTGTTGTTCTCTGTTGGTTCTTTTTGGGTGCTTGAGGACAACTAGGCACCCAAAATGGGACACTCAGCTGGTAACATTTACAGTTCTGGCCTGGCTGGCTTTCTTAAGCTCCTGTCTATCACAGTTCAATAAGAGGAGGAAGCAGGTGGAGAACCTGTTAGCAGAGAGGCACATGGGATCACTGATGAAAGCAGTCAGGAGCCATGAAGGTGTAATTGGTGCTTAAGGCTCACATCAGTCATTCCCTCCTGACAGAAACATGGGTGGATGCAGGAGCCAGCAAACATGCAAGCACTGTATCATCAGATGTGTGTCATGCTATGTACCTGTGTATTCCTGCGAAATCCCTGCCATGCCTTCAGCAAACCAGCCACTCCTGAGACAGACCTAGAGCTCAGCACCAGGTACTGGCCTGCAGAGGAGGCATGATTCCTGCCCACAGCATATTGAACTTTATATGCCTGGTCAGTTTACTGCCTTGCCTGGGCTTCTTCCAGGCCTCCAGAAACCCTGGACAAATTCCATGGACTGGGCAACAATAGCTAAAACTCCCTAAGCCACCTTAGCAAATCCGTGGTTGTTCAACTATATAAGTAGATACACAAAGAAGGGGATTGTCATATTAGTACTTTAACTGGGGGGAAAAACCAACAGTGGGAATGAGTCATATAGAAATTTTAATTCTGAAAAACGGTTTGGAGCCTAAGCAGTAGTTTGTGTCATACCACACTTGTTAAGTGCT